CACTTCCATGGCTAAGATAATTCTGGTTCTCAAACTCCCAACCTATCTACTCATTTGCCTGTAAAATTCTAATGTCTCAGAATGAGAAAATTGCCTGGTACCTTAGTGGTATTGTTAGTCATGAAGTCCCTGAATATGGTGTAGAAAATCTGAGCATATTTTCTGTACTGTAGTGAACTCTGAGGCTTTGAACCCCCTTACATGAACTGGATAGGTCATTCCAGTATGCCTGAAAGGACATGACCAGCAGGGGTCTTGTCACTTTGTACAGGCTGTCTTCTCAGGGAGTAAAGAGATTGTGCCCAAGATGTATGTAAGTTTTGTTCAGTCTCCCAGGTGGATCCGTGGAAAGATAAGAGGTTTAGCACTGACAGTCAACCAGTGAAACCTTGTTTTATGACCTGCAAAAGACTGTTTAAATAAGGACAAAAAACATTTCTGCAAGCAGGATGGACTGGATCAAGTGACTTCATGGGCTATAAGTTGCAGAATACAACATTATACTATCAAGGCAGTGACACTTACTCAGCAAGTTTCCCTTAATTACTTTGTAAAAGAAAGGCTTGGCCTGCTACATCATCCTTCCTGATTAACTTTAGTAAAGACTTGGGGCTATTGGGAGGGCAAGTGTGAAAGTATCATGTATTGGTAATGGCAGTGGCTTATTCCATGCTGAAGATATTTCCAGCAGGAGCAACGTTGAAGTAAGCATCCTGAAGATGGAGATGGAAGGCCATCCACAAAAGAAGAGAGAGTCTAGTTGTGACAAGCATCATTTTCAGCTTTAACTTGAAAATGACGATTCTGAATTTCCTTAACATCAGCTTTAACTTGAAAATGACGATTCTGAATTTCCTTAACACTAGGTGGGATGCCCTCCCCCTTCAGAACCAGTAGATGGTTATTTTTCTTTATTATTAGAGATCTGAAATTGCTACTTCTCTTCTTCCTAGGGCTAGCAGGAAACGCACCCTGCCTTCCCCGGAACATGCTACGGAGTGCCAGAGTCACAGTACTTTGTTTTCAGGAAGCATTGGCACTTTTTCTTTTTTAAATTGTACTAGCTTTAGGAATCACAAAAAAGGCAGAATAGACCAAGTATCCAGTCCATCTCATGAGAGGCATGTGTGCGTGGGGGGAGCGTTTGTATTTTGAGTTTTTGTCTTGTCCTTTGAGTAGGTTTAACAGGCTTGTAGACCCTGAGGGAACAAAAAGTGGCCTTTGACTTTGGTTGTACAGCACTTCAGTCTTAGAGCTGCAGGGTTTTGCCTCTCTGAAAAGGGAGGTTCTCCAGGAAGAGAATCTCAAGACTGCAGCTTTGAATATGAGGCAATGCCTCATAGAGTTGTCTGTAGGATGTAGAGTTGTCTGTAGGAATGTTCTAGCCATGGTTTCTCCTTTAGAGATAATGATCATAAAAGTACCCAGCAGGAAGTTAGGAGTGCCTTATGTGATAAGTGCAAAAGTATTGTCTGGTAAGTAGCAGCTGATAGTTAGGCCCCTGGATTACATGCTGGTAGAGGAGGATGATTTCCCCCTCTTGTCTAGCCTTGTGTATTCTCAGCTCTTTAGAGCTGAACAAAGCTACTTTGCTATAGCAATGAGAGTAACAAAGATGGGAGAGGGGTGTGTGTGCAGTAAGTTTTCTTTTTTTTAAACACTCTTGGAATTAGCCTTTTTACTATTTGTTTAGCCTTGTAGCAGTTGCAGTACTAGAGGCCACATGATTTCATTGGGGGGGCAGGGGGGAAGCAGCTTTGCTGGGAACTGACTGTTGCAGACTGCACAGGCCTATGTGAGGGCTCTTTGATCTCCAAGAGAACCTGCTGTGTCTGAATTAACCTACCTCAAGTTCTGCAAACCCTTGTTCTAGGAACTGCAGGAGGAGGGGCTTAATGTCCTTCCCTAGTCAAAGGTCTGGGCAGCAGCACTGCCTCGGGCAGAATCCTGACTGGGTAGGAAGGCATCTTGTATCCAAGATAAGAAACAGCTTCTTTCAGGGAGGAAAAGCAGTTGGCTTCTACTGTACCTCCCAGCCTGGAACTTCATAGATTTCATAGACATTAGGGCTGGAAGGG